GGCCTTTACCAAATGAACCCTTGCCTCCAAACGAGGCACCACTGAAACCACCAAAATAACAAGGCCTTATCTCTAATACCGCCTCCCTACCATAACCACGAATCATCTTCATCCATCTAGCAATCTCTACCACCCGCTGGAAATAAATATTATCCCAGTCTCCTTGGCCATCTGTAGCCTGATACCAAAAGTAAGGCCATCAATGAATCTCCCCACCCTCTCCCTCTCAGTAGGGAGCAAAACAAATACATGACGAGATAAATCTACGAATAAGGTCTCGTATTGGGTAACAGTCATCCTACCCTGCTAGACGCGCTCAAAATACCTGCAGTACTTCTCTCTCAGAGTAAAAGGAATGAACTTCTACAAGAATAGCTGTGAAAACTGATCCCAAGTGTGTGGAGGTGATCCTGTTAGTCTGGCTCGATCATAATCCTGCCACCACCTCTTGGCGGAGCCGTGCATCTAAAATACCGCAAAGTCCACTCTATTGGACTCCACTATACCCATATTGCATAACATCTCGTAGCAACAGTCAATGAAATCCTATAGGTGCTCAAAAGGTGTACCACCAAATCGAATTGGAAATAGCTTAGTGAACTTATCCAGTCTGTTTAACCCCTCAGAAGACATCACGAACCTCTTCCTGGTCTGCATAGCAATGACAGGCTGAACTACTCCAGCTGCTAGAACCGCCGAAGTCTGATATATGGAAGCCATCTGCTCCAGAGTGTGAGTAGCGGGAGTCTGGGCTCCCCCCCCCCCCAGCCTGAGAAACAGTTGGTGCCACAGGAAATGCAGCGGCCTGGGACACACTCTCCATAAGGACCACCAAACGGACTAGAGCGTCCTGAAGTACGGGAGTGGTAATGAACCCTCCAGGACCTGAGCTAGTCCAACTAGTGCAGTCTGAATAGGGATCTCCTCGTCCAGCTCAATCTGAAGCTCTGCAATCGGTGTTGCTGCTCGTGCTCTAGGCTGAGCTCTACCTCTACCTCGGCGCTGGCCCCTACCCCTGGTAGTGGCTGCAACTTGGGCTCTGGCTCCTGCCCGGCTGTGAATGTTGTGTGTATCTTTGCCATCTGTGAGAGAACAAGAATAGAATGGTTCAAACTTCCGTGATAGAATAAAGTCGTACGATAGAGAAAGAAAGAAGTGACATTTCCTAAATCTCTATAGCCTCTAGAATATAAGTACAGACGTCTCTGTACCGATCCTCTAGACTCTACTAAACTTGCTCATGACTGGTGAGACCTATGCAACCTAGTACTCTTACACCAACTTGTCACGAACCAGAATACCAATCTTCGGGTCGTGATGGCGCCTTACGCCCACTTGCTAGGCAAGCCAACATTAGTACACAATTAATCATTTTAAACCAATTAGAATGAAATTTAATAAGAAATAAAGTTGTAGAGTTTTAAAAACAGATATACTAAATCCAAACGCTGATTAACCCCGGAATTTGGTGTCATAAGTACATGAACATTCTAACAGTGCTACAACCAAAGTCTGAATAAAAGTACAACTGTTTGAAACAAAAATAAACAGTCGAACGAGATAGAGAAGGGGACTTTAGGGCCGGGGATGCCCGTGCAGCTATACCTCAAGTCTCCGTGATCAGCTAACCCGAGCAAGCCTCCACTAACTGTTGCTGGGGCCAACAACAGAATCTGCACAAGAAGTACAAAAGTGTAGCATGAGAACAACCGAACCCATATACTCTATAAGTGTCGAGCCTAACCTCGATGAGGTAGTGATGAGGCTATAACAAGGCACTCACTAAAACCTGTACGAATGTAATTAAATAACAACAAAATAGAGAAAACAAGTATAACATGAAATCGGAACAGAAATTACATAACAGAGGGCTCTAGAATAACACTTTGGCTCAACCTCCCAAAACAACACAATATAGTAACAACAGTCAAACATAACAAAATAAGTCTTCTCCGTTGCGTCGCGCATTCCGATCCACAAATATATATAAATATCAATTCTTCTCTGCTGCGGCGCGCAACCCGATCCACAAATATATAAATAATAATTTTTCTCCATTGCGGCACATAACTCGATCCACAAATATATATAAATAATACCGTTGCGGTGTGCAAACCCATCCGAAACAATATAAATTAAAGGAACAAACTACAACCAGCTACGGCGTATCACAAAACAAAATGAAATAAATGAATTTCATAATTAATGACATAAGGCGGATAAATGTAGCTATCTAGTAACACACGAGGAAGAAGTCAAGTAAAAGACAGTAAGTAAATAAAAACACGGATACAAGGAAACAATTAGCAGTTAAGGCATGTAACGGATAAATGCATGATTTTAACACGTAAGGCAAGTAGCAATTAAACCATTTAATAAGTAAAAATATGGATCTAATAAAGGCACGAAATAATTAAAAGCAATGAATAAATGTACTAACCCGCATGCTTAACCCGTGACTACGCATATACACTCATCACCTTGCATATACACCGTCCCCATACATAAATCAAGTAGCAAATAAGCTAATCAAATCTTAATTCCCTCAAGTCAAGGTTAACCACGACACTTACCTCACTCCGCAACTAAATTAATGCTCAACCACGGCTTTTCTATTAGAAGTAACCTCCAAACCAATCAAATATAGCCAAATATAGTTCAAATAATTCAAAATAAGTTTTAGAAACTACCCACGAGTGAAAAAGATTCGATCTTTAATGAAATTGAAAAAGTCAACAAAAGTCAACCTAGGAACCGCTTGGTCAAAACTCGAGATTCAGATCAAAATTTGATTACCCATTCATCCCCGAGCCCGGTTATGCAATTTATTTCAAAATTCGACCTGAATTTGAGGTCTAAATCTCATTTTTTTTTGCAAAATACCTAATTTCTACCATGAAATTCATAGATTAAAGGTTAAAATCAATGGGTGATTATGAAAAACCATCAAAACTAGTTAAAGATCACTAACCAATGAAGTGGGGATGAAAATCTCTTCATAATCCTCTCTAGGACGAGCTCTAGCTCTCTAAAATGGTGTTTTGCAAAAGAATCCCGACTTTCAGCTTTTAAACAGCTAGGCGTCAGATGTTCTTCGCGTTAGCGAAACACCTGGCGCGTTCGCGAAGAGCACTGGGCAAAAGGCTATCGCGTTCATGAGGTCCTCTATTGCTGCTCAAAAGCACTTTTTTATGTTGGCCAAACACGTCAAATGTTCAAAAAAAATACTTTTTTTAATTAAAAAAAATACTTTGGTCTCCTAAAAGCTTGGCAAAACAGTCTCTAACTCAGCCGACCCTTGCGGGCATTCCTTTTTTTTTTTAGGAATCTGACGAAAATGTCCCAAATAAGTCCTAACTTACCAACCTCTAGCCATTAATCATAGACTTAGCAAAACTATCCAAGCACATACAAAAATTAAAAACCCAATGAAATAAGGATTCTTTCTCTCCAAGAATCACACGCAAAGAACTTCTTCTCTATTTTTAAGCTCGATCAGCAATATTAGATGCAAGAGGGAAAGAAAATTTTATGGATGAAGTAGCAAATAAGGTGATGAAATTCCAAAAAATATATATATATACCAGATTCCAAAAATGTAAGAAAAAAATGACCTTTTTCAATGGGTATGGTTGAAAGTCATTGAAAACATATAGATGAGTCAATATACAAAAGTTGGTAAGTTTGGAGATGATTTTGACTGATTGGGTATCAAAATTCGTAGTTAAACTCGAATTCGAAAAATTCTTTTGCGACACGTGTATCACGCATGTATCTCATACACAAGTATACATGGATATACATGTGATACACATTTGATACAGAGATGATACATAATGTGATATACAAATGATGCATAGTATGATACACATATCATCTTCCTCCATTTTCATCTTCTATTTCGAATTTTCAATTCAAACCATCTCAAAACTCTACCAAATCATCCCACAACTGAGATTTGAACTTCTTAAGATGTATCAAATTTATTCCAACAACACTTACTCAAAAGAAAATAAAAAATTGATATTTTTTTGGTTACAAATAACTAATTGGCTAATATTTGATAATGTTTTATAAATTGATTAACTTTTATACTAACTTATCTTGTGGGTTCACATATATGGTAATTTCCTTTTTTTTTATCCTCACTTCTTTCCTATCGTACGACCTTCGTTCAATACGTATACGTAGAGTAGGGGTGTGCATTCGAATCGGTTTATCGATAAATCGAATTGATTATTTGTTATCGGTTTATCGATATCGGTTTATCGATTTATCAATTTCGATTTCGATTTCGAAATTTTCCTTATCGAGTTATCGATTTCGATTTTGATTTTGTCCTCTTCGGTTTATCGGTTTATCGATAAACCGATAAGAAATACTAAAAAAAATTTGTTTTTTTTAAATTTTTTTTAATTTTTTTTTTCCCTTATTCTATAATACCCTTTCCTTTACCCTAAGTCCCTAACCCTATTATTTCATCTACCACATTTAAGGAATGATCATACTTAAAGCTCAAGGGAATGAAGTTCAAATTCATGAAAAATAGAATTAGCCGTGATGATGTATTTTTTTTATACCGTTGGAGTGTTGGTGGCATACATTTGATCCCTTACTTTAGTTTCGTTGCATGTGCTTGTTGACACAATTTTTATGTTATAAACGGTGTTCGTCTTATTTTAGCTTTTTTTGGTCCATATTAGTTAGGCGTGTTTATAGCGATATACTTTCCGTGGAATCCCGCAAATTTTCTTATTGGTGTAATCGATAACCGAATCGATAAGCCCCAAAAATTGATAAATCGAAATCGAAAAAATCGAAACCTTATTGAAACGATAACGATAAGCATATGCACAAATCGATAATCGATAAGTAATTATCGATAAGGGTCAAAATCAAATCGATAAATTAAATGCACACCCCTAACGTAGAGTCAAAAGGGAAGGATCTAGGCTCTTGCCACGCGGCACTCTTACCCACTTCCCTATACACATAAGAATCAGTGCTCTTCCCGGCCATTATTTTTTCTCACTCAATAGTTTGTTATCTTCTCTGTCTTCTTCAAATCGGTCCCGAATTCGACTCTGTATCGAGGTATATTTATTTATTATCATCATCTTTATCCATGTGCGTTTATTAACACGTAAATACTCTGAATGTGATGGAGAATTTCATGCGTTTCTTCAACTTCTCTGGCATTAATGATGATCCAATTCTAGAAACCTGCTAGTAGAATTGTTGGAAATAATGATACGGGCACTTGGTCATGCTTTTTTTTCTTTCCAAATTCGATAATTAAATGCCTGGAATGCATAGCAAGTCTTGACTGTTGAAAGAAGTGTAGCAGAGATGCGGACATTAAGAGACTTTAAGATAATAGATATGAATGACCACAATCGTTAGAAGATATAGAGAATCTCTGGTACTTTTTAATTTATTTTTATTTTGTATGATGTTTGCCCAAAATGGATTTTAATGGAGAAACATGGTTAGTGAGATTCATATAGCCCACTCTAGTTTGGCTGGGACTGAGGCGTTGTTGTATTTGTTGTTGTTGCCTTTGTATAATATTGGATTGAGATACCATGAATGGAGTGACATGGATAGTGGAGATTCATAGAGTCAACCCCAACTTGTTTGAGATTGATCTGTAGTCGTTGTTGTTGTAAAAGAAATCAGTAATCTTGTGTAGCATTTCATCGTTTCTTATTTCATTCAGTTATTTTCTGATAATTGAAATGGCACGTTCTGCATCAGCTACGCAATGATTATTGAATGAAAGGAACTGGAAAAAAAAGTTATAGTGTGTGTATTTTCTATAAGTAATTACATGTCTATGTTGGGGAGGAGGATGATCCCAATAGATTTGGCGAGAATCAAATTCTAGGGGATACATGCGAATGCATGAAGAGTATCTTAAACATTTATTACTTTATGCTTTTGCAAAATCTATCGTCAGATAGCAATAGATTGTAAAGAAAATGTATGCTTATTTTTTTCAAACATTGACAAGGTTTTTATGTAGGTTACATAATCGATTATTAACTTCTGTTGTTTCTTATCTACTACTTCAAATTGTCACATACAAAGATCTATGATCATTATGCTTTGATATACATACTAAATTGGTGTTTTATTCTTTGCAAAAACTGTATCTTTATTTTATAGATGACGTTCTGAAGTTTTAATCTGGAATTCAGACGTAAATTAGAAAATTATGCAGAGAGAAGGAGATGGTAGAGAAGATTCTAACTCCTCCAGTAGTCCACTGGATAGACTTCGAGGCGTGATGTCCCGTATTTTTGGAAGAAAAGATCCATCTGATGACTCGTCCGCGACTTGTCCACCTGAAAACTCGTCAGAATCGTCCATGTTACATCATAGAACTCCACCAGCTGATACACAGCCAGTTGCTAAATCAAAGGGCCCGGTCATTATAGAGCTAGATACTGATGATGAGGGAGATGTAGGGGGAGAAGCAGAAGAGGAAAATTGTGGTGTTAATGGTTCCAGAATGAGCAAAGAAAAAGCTCAAACTAATGCTTATAGTAATGCAAATCCACTTGTTGAGCATCCTGATGACCAACCTGATGGTAAGCGTTGGTTCTAGTTTGTTTCCTTTGTCCCCAAGTTGTATGTTTTTTTCGATCATTTTTATAGCATCCTAACTGGTGCAAATGCACTGTGCTTATGTAGCTGATCATAACAAGAGCAAAAGCATAAGCAAGGACGTGGCTCATAGGTTGAAAGCGAAGAAAAATGAAGGAGCAAAAGCCCAGACTCAGAGTGTTAGCTATAGAAGAGTAACATATGGTGGGATAAATGGGGCGTATTACACCACCACTACCACGCGTAGGACGGGAAGCGATGGAGTACGTTGTCTTTACATTGATGTCCTTTAGCTCTAACTTAAAGCCGTAGTTCTTCCTCATTCCTGGTTCTAACTCCACGTGTGAAGCAGATGGTTTTAGAGGACAGCAAACAAGCAGATATCACAACTGGTCAAGCAACCCATAGAATCTCTAGGGGCATTCACGACAAGGTATTTTGCTATGTTTAGTAGTTTTTTTCCCCGCTGTGTTATTAAATGATTACAGAAATTTAATATGGTATATATGTTAAAGTCTATCTGGTGAAGTAGAAGGCATGAACTATGAATATGAATTTCCTAAAAGTTTTGGATCATTTACACTAAATTGTGTGACCTCCAGAAGGACCAGATCTGCTGACATGACAACTATAAATGTAGCCTTAAGTAACTAAATGTAAAACCTTAATGGATTTTCCAGTATCTGCCTATCTGTTATGTTTAGTATTTATGTGCACACGCAAAAAGGTGCGTTCTGTCTCATCTAAACTTCAGGAATTTACAGGACTTCCCACCACTTTGTCCCTGTGGTAGAAAAAGAGATTCAGAGCTTGATAACTGCAACCACATTGCTTTGCTCTTAATGGCCTAGCCGAATGATGTTCACCATTCACTGAATCTATTTTTCTCTGTTAATATTTGATTTCCAACTTTTGGCATAGCAACCTAATTGGTGAAATACAAGCTATAAGTGTCTTATTCATTCTTGGCACTTGCAGGGACACTCACTCACAAGGAAGCTTGATTCTGATGGCAAGGTGAACTCAATGCAGACTTTGCATAATATAGAAGAAGGTAATATCCCTAGATGTTCTGTTTTAAGGTCTCATTACAGTGGATTAAATGTCATCTAATTTTACTTATTATCGTCCAGATGAATTAGCTAGTTTTGAACAGACATGGAAAGGGAATGCTGATAAGCATCTGCCCGGCTGGAACAATGGGTTAGATCTTCATGCAAATGCAGGTTAGTCTGAAATATATGCCTTCCTCTATTCTTGCTAAAGAGTTTATTGGTGCATATGTTGATGGGCTCCATTTGGTTGTACCATACGTTTTTGTCAGAGTGGGAGTCTCCCCTAGCTTTGCGTATCTTATAACTGTTAGACACTAAACGACCTTCTTTGATGAGCATGTTCTGCATGCAGATAGGTCAAATAAGCTTTACTCATGTAGTGATAGTATCGAATACTTAATTTCAAATTGACCAACACATTTTAAGGAAAGTCACAGATTAAGAGAGGTGGTCATTTCTTACCTTATTCTTCCTGCATATTGCTCAATTTCTCCGCAAATAAATAATAACAAAAATTATTTAGACATTGTGGAAATAACTTGTATTGAACTGGTGGTAGACAATAACGTTTTTTTTTTTTGAAGTTTTAAGCTACTCGGAATTAGATAAGTTTAAGTTACATGAAATAAGTAACATTATTAAGGGAAATTACCCAAGTACAGAGATTATTAATTGTGATAGAATTAAGAATGTTCTATATTATTAATCTGGATGTATCCTAATGTGTTATTACATAAATGTTCTTGACTTCCAACCCACTTTTCCAAACTCAAGGTAATGAAGCAATTTGAGTTTGTAAACTATAACTGAAAAGTCAAGTCGAATATGCAAGAAATGAAAACTTGGCAATGCCTTGAAACAAAAACAACTAGGATGTGATACCAAAATGAAGCTGCGAAACATGGTTGTATTTGAGGACAAGCTGCTGCCGGCTTAACTAGAACAAGAACTAGTACTGCCAGCTTGGCCACATCTGGCTATTCCTGGCGTTGACTTGGTAGAGATGTAACTGGTGAAGTGTATGACCATCTCATCTAAAAACTTAAGCTGTTAGAGAGAAAATACTTTTATTTACTTAATTATGTCTTCAACACGTCCCCTCACGTGCGGGTTCGATTTTTTTTATGAGCCAAGCACATGGAAATTCTTTTTGATATTGGGTGGTGATGAGACTCGAACCCAGGACCTTTGCCTACCCTGATACCATGTTGAAGTCTGCGCTACTACCATATTAAAGTGTGTGACCATCTCATCTAACAGTGATGGTCACACGCTTCAACATGGTATCAGAGTAGGCAGAGGTCATGGGTTTGAGTCTCACCGCCACCCAATCAAAAAGAATTTTCACGTGTTTGGCTCATCAAAAAGAATCAAGCCCGCACAGTATCAAAACAATGTCGAAAGTGATAGTAGGAAAGATTGATGCGCCCGAACTGGTTTCAGATAGGAGATAAGAGTAGTGAAATTATGAAAAGAATGAAAAACTTTGTCGGTACAGGTGTAAGACTGTCCACCGTAGGGTGAAGTTATTTATGTCATTACAAAGATTCTAAAGGCTCTAATACCATGTGAAAATAGGTGGAAAGAAGAGAGACCTTGTATTGAATTGACTGTAAATGATATTTAAGGAGTTCCATATAAAGCAGTTTAGGCTACTAGAAATAAGGCAAGTTTGGATTACTTGATATAAGGAGAGTCATCAAATAAGAAGAATAACCAAACATAAGTATTTCTAAATACGACAGAATTTGGAAGAATACTATATGCTATATTAAGCTAAATATCTTCTAACATATTACTTCATTTATTCTCTCAATTTTCAGTAGGCATCAGGATATTCGTGTGAGAACAAAAGATGTTATCCCTCAAAGTTACTCAAGGTTATTTAAAAGGAACACATTTTAAATAATGTGCTTAATGTTGCACGGCAAGTTACTTACTGCAGATAGGCTCGCTAGCAGGGATGTACGGGTAGATCTCTTGTGCTCTCTGTCAAACTCAACATGAATGTAGAGATCACTTATATGGAAATTGTAGATTTACTAAAGCTTTAGGTTTGGATGAAGAGTCAACCCTTTTCAGCAGCTACATGTTAGCAGCAAATACAATGGGCTGTCAAGAGTGCCAAGGGCAGATCACATCTCAAGTCTTTAGAATGATTTATGTAGAAGTCAGTCATGCTGTTTGGATGGAAAGAAACCAAAGGATATTTGAAGGAATCAGTAGGGAAGTAGTCAGTATTACTAGAAACATTGCTTATCTCTGTAATCTTAGAGCTTCTCCGGGGATTAGAAGTCTGGTGCAATCGTGGAGTTTTAGTGTAGTGCTGATTGATAGATGAGTTTCCTTTCTGTGTAACTAATTTATTGATTGGGAGATATCCTCCCTAGGAGGTGAGCTCTCAATCCATCAAGTACAGGCAGAGTGCTTTAGTTTTACTAGTTCTTGTCGTTTTGGATGGCTGGTTGTGTTAGTTCAGCTTGGTTTTGTAAATTCCGTACTTGGTCATCAATAAAAATTTTAATTACCAAAAAAAAAAAAGGGAACCCCTTTTAAGAGTAAAAGATCCTTGGCAAGATATGATTATAATATGTAAGTTATATTTAGCACGACTTTAGTTTAGTGGCAGTTTATTTTTAGTAAAAATTTTTGCAGGTTTTATTGTGGTCCTAAACTAGAAAATAGTTCAATTGTAAGATCCATTTTGGAAATTGACTTGTTTTGAATATTTGTGTCTCGCTAAGATTCTAGAAGCCAGTCATGGTTGCTTCCTTCAGTGCTAGAACTGGCAGAAAATGCTGTAGGAATATCTGCTGGTAATCTCTTGTGATTCCAAGTACTTAAGTTCGACACTTTGCTCATGATTTGACAACATAATGGAGCGGAGAGCATTAAGCAAACATTTGTTGCCCATATTCATTCTTAGTTATGACAATCCAAATCATCTATACAAAATTGCTTAAGTTTATGTAGTATCAGAAGTGGAGAAGCAAAACAGGGTAAGAAATGAGAGAGGGAAGAAGAAAAGGGGGGGGGGGGGGGTTGGAGAAAGGAGACGGGTAAATAGTTCCAATGAACAGTCAGAACTTTTGACAAGAGTGTTAGATTAAACATATTTTTTTCTAAGAGATAATATTATTTCTAGTTAACATATACGACTATTTCTAATTGAAAGATAAAGATAAATACTTCTCGTAGAAAAAAGGATAGACATTATGAAACATGGCCAAGTGATAATGGTATCTTGTATGATTTACATCGTCTTGGACTTGAAGTCACAATGTCCAAATGGAATTCCAAGCTTTATAGGACGTGTAGATCGTATATATCTAAAATCTACTATGTGCTTCTTTTTTTTTTTAATGTAAAGTTCCCCAGACAGAGGTCTGTGTGGGACCCATTTAAATAAAAGAAAAAGAAAAAGAAGACAACAAGCTGCTTAAACGTGCAATTTGCAAATCAGATTTTGCAAAAGACAAATCTGATTTGGAAAGATGCAAATCTGATTTTAGAAAGCCAAATCTGGAAACTTTTCCTATAAATAGAAGCTTTCGTTCTTTATTTCAGACACACCAAATCAGAGAGAGTGCAATAGAGCGTAGAGAGAGTAATCAACAGATTGTAGTCTGTGAGATAAATAGTGAGTGGGAGTAATATTGTAGTGAGGTGTTTAAAATAAAGACTATTATTTCTTTCGAAGTTGTAGTAGTCTCTTGACACTACTAAGTTGTAATATTGTAGTGGTAATATTGCTCCGTTTGGGTATTGTATTTTATCCCGTTAAAATATTTGATGTCGTTGTTACTCTCTTGTGTTATTGTTATTTACCGTGGATATTATTCCTGGGCGGGATTATTATTTTTTACTCTCAACAACGTGGTATCAGAGCCATGGCGAGTAATGGTCCGCTGTCTTTTCAGTATCCCCGTCTCACAAAAGATAATTATGAGAAATGGTGTCTACGTATGAAAGTCATTCTAGGCTCCCAGGATGTGTGAGAAATCGTAGATAGAGGGTATGCAAAACCCGATAATGAGGAAGCTCTGCCTCAAAATGAAAAAGATGTCTTGGCAAAGACAAGGAAGAAGGATCAACAAGCCCTCACGCTCATCCACCAATGTTTGGATGATGCCATGTTTGAGAAGGTGGCAGATGCTACCGCCTCAAAGCAAGCTTGGGAGATTTTACAAAATTCGCTTCAAGGAGTTGACAAGGTGAGGAAGGTAAAACTTCAAACTCTAAGGGCTGATTTTGAAGTTTTAAAAATGAAAGAATCCGAATGCATTTCGGATTATTGTTCAAAAGTGAAGGCTGTTGTGAATCAATTAAGAAGATACGGGGAGGACATAAAAGATGTTCGTGTGGTAGAAAAGATCCTTCGCACTTTAACACCTAAATTCGATTTTGTGGTGTGTGCTATTGAAGAGTCTAAAGATTTAGACTCAATGATGGTGGAGCAATTGGAGGGTTCTTTACAGGCCCATGAAGAAAAGATCAAGAGGAGACAAGAAGTGCCATTGGAGCAACTTCTTAAAACTCGGGCATCCTTCAAGGATTATGGAGGTGAAAAAAGCTATCGAGGGAATGGACGAGGACGAGGCCGTGGCGGTCATGGACGAGGAAGAAGTAACGGTAACAACTTCAACAATGAAGCTAAAATCCACCAAACATTCAGAGGTCGTGGTCATGGACATAGAGGAGGAAGAGGACGTGGCTACTATCAAGAAAATAATGGACAAAGGTATGACAAATCAAAACTTGAGTGCTATAATTGTCATAAATTTGGCCATTACTCTTGGAAATGTCGCAGCAATGTTGAAGAGAAAGCTAACCTTCTTGACGACAAGAAAGAAGAAGATGAGTCAACGTTATTGCTGGCACTCAAGGAAGAAGACAGGGATGATTGCAGCTCGTGGTATTTGGACAATGGAGCAAGCAATCATATGTGTGGATGCAAAGAAAAGTTTGTGGAGATCAATAAAATGGTGAGAGGTAATGTGTCCTTTGGAGATACCTCAAAGATTCAAATCGAAGGGATAGGTACGATTCTAATCTCTTGTAAAGATGGTAGTCACAAGCTAATTCAAGATGTTTATTATGTGCCAAAATTAAAAAGTAATATTTTGAGTTTGGGCCAACTTCTTGAAAAGGAATATGACATCCACATGAAAAATATGCATCTTTGGCTTAGAGATTCAAGTGGAATTCTAATTGCTAAAGTGCATATGGAAAAGAATAGATTTTCTCTGAATCTTAAAACAATTGATGCAAAGTGTTTGAAGGCTAATGTGCAAGATGAATCATGATGTTGGCACATGCGATTTGGGCACTTGAATTTTGAAGCGCTCAAATCAATGGGAGAAAATAACATGGTACATGGGATACCATCCAAATCAACTGTGTGAAGCTTGTCTTCTTGGAAAACATGCAAGGAGGAGTTTTCCAAAGGAGGCCATGTCAAGATCAACCAAGCCGCTCTAGCTTGTTCACACTGATGTGTGTGGACCAATCAATCCACCTTCTTTTGGTAAAAGTAGATACTTTTTTCTTTTCATTGATGACTTTAGTAGAAAGACTTGGGTTTATTTCTTGAACCAAAAATCTAAAGCTTTTGCTGTTTTTAAAAGTTTCAAAGTACTTGTGGAGAAAGAAAGTGACTATGAAATTAAAGCTCTAAGGTCCGATAGAGGAGGCGAATTCACTTCAAACGAATTTAATGACTTCTGTCAATCTCATAGAATTCGTCGCCCTCTAACGGTACCTTATTCACCCCAACAAAATGGTGTTGCATAGAGAAAGAATCGAACGATTCTTAATAAGGCTAGATGTATGTTGAAAGCTAAAAATATGCCCAAGGAATTTTGGGCCGAAGCTGTTTCTTGTGCAGTTTATTTGAACAACAGGTCTCCAACAAGAAATATTAGAGATCAAACCCCTCAAGAAGCATGGAGTGGAGAAAGCCAAATGTCAAACATTTGAGAATCTTTGGGAGCATAGCCTATGCTCATGTGCCACATCAGGGAGAGCAAAGCTTGACGATCGAAGTGTCAAGCATGTGTTTGTTGGCTATGATACGAGTTCAAAAGGCTACAAGTTATACAACCCAAGCAGCGGTAAGGTGGTGGTAAGTCACGATGTTGAATTTGATGAAGAATTGGCATGGGATTGGGAAGCTCTGGAAGAAACTTCATATGATTATCTTCCATATTTTGGTGATGAAGAAGAACCAGAGACCGTGGAACCTGTGCAGGATACAACTCCACCTCCTTCTCCAACCAATGTTGCATCTCCCTCTTCTCAAGAAAGTTCAAATGAATAGCCGCAAAGGACAAGGAGTATTCAAGAGCTCTATGAGGACACAGAAGAAGTTACTAATTTTGATTTTTTATGTTGTCTCTTTGCTGACAGTGAACCAATGAACTTTGATGAAGCTGTTACAAACAAAAAGTGGAGACAAGCCATGGAGGAGGAGATTGAGTCAATAGAGAAGAACAACACTTGGGAGTTAACAACTCTTCCCAAGGGTCATCGAGCAATTGGAGTGAAATGGGTATACAAAATAAAGAAGAATGCTGATGGAGATGTGGAGAAATACAAGGCACGACTTGTGGCTAAAGGCTACAAGGCAAAGGCAAGGCATTGACTATGAAGAGGTCTATGCACCTGTTGCCCGCATGGAGACGATTCGTTTGCTGATCTCTTTGGCAGCGCAAATGAAGTGGAACATCCATCAGTTAGATGTCAAGTCAGCCTTCTTGAATGGCTATCTTGAAGAAGAAGTCTATGTTGAACAACCATTGGGCTTCGTGGTCAAAAACCATGAAGATAAAGTGTTGCGGTTAAAGAAAGCTTTATATGGATTAAAGCAAGCCCCACGAGCATGGAATAGTTGCATCGACAAGTATTTTCAAGACAATGGGTTTACTCTTTGTCTCCATGAATATGCTCTTTACCTTAAAGTTCATACTAACGGAGATATCTTGCTTGTTTGTCTTTATGTTGATGATCTTATTTTCACGGGTAATAACCCAAGTTTGTTTGAAGCTTTTAAGAAAGATATGTCTCGTGAGTTCGAGATGACGGACGTAGAGCTCATGTCATACTACTTGGGCCTAGAAGTGAAGCAGATAGAGGATGGAATTTTTATCTCTCAAGAAAGCTATACAAAAGAGATATTGAAGAAGTTCAACATGCTCGATTGCAACCCCGTGAACACACCGATGGAGAGTGGGACAAAATTGTCCAAGTTTGATGAAGGAGAAAAAGTGGATCCCACATTTTTCAAAAGTCTTGTGGGAAGTTTAAGGTATTTGACTTGTACCAGGCCAGATATACTCTTTGCAGTTGGAATAGTAAGCCGCTTCATGGAAGCTCCTACCTCCACTCATTTGAAAGTCACTAGAAGAATTCTTCGTTACCTAAAAGGTACGATTGACTTTGGGTTATTTTATTTCTGTTCTAGTGATTTCAACCTTATGGGATTTTGTGATAGTGATTATGCGGGAGATATTGATGATAGAAAAAGTACAACTGGTTTTGTATTTTTCTTGGGGGATTCTGTTATTTCTTGGAGTTCAATGAAACAATCAATTGTTACTCTCTCTCAAGAATAGATTTTGCAAAAGACAAATCTGATTTGGAAAGATGCAAATCTGATTTTAGAAAGCCAAATCTAGAAACTTTTCCTATAAATAGAAGCTTTCGTTCTTCATTTCAGACACACCAAATCAGAGAGAGTGCAATAGAGCGTAGAGAGAGTAATCCACAGATTGTAGTCTGTGAGATAAATAGTGAATGGGAGTAATATTGTAGTGATGTGTTTAAAATAAAGAGTGTTATTTCTTTCGAAGTTGTAGTAGTCTCTTGACACTACTAAGTTGTAATATTGTAGTGGTAATATTGCTCCGCTGGGTTATTGTATTTTATCCCGTTAAAATATTTGGTGTCGTTACTCTCTTGTGTTACTGTTATTTACCGTAGATATTATTCCTGGGCGGGATTATTATTTTTTACTCCCAACAGTCTGGGTGTTGTATTGCAAAAAGAGATCAGTGAGGGGGGCTATGCCTTACATCAGAACCAAATACAACATGGTGATTCCTATCACCCAAAAAAAGGACAGCAGATTAATCTACCAATCTACTGTCATAACTATATATACATCAAATTCAACTAACAAAAAAATTGTTCTTCTCATATTTTGTTCTGATACTAGGCATTTGCCACTTATCCATAATGAAGGCGCCTTTAGCTTCTTTTGGAAGTTGTTCGAAGGATTGGCATATCAAATTCGTGCCAGAGATGGAGGCGATTTTAGCTAAAGCATCAGCTACCTGGTTGCCTTCTCTATAACAGTGTTGGACTGTTGCATTTGCATGCTGGACCAAACTTGTAATTCTATCCACCACCATCTTTAGTTTCATGTTCTTGTTTTCATCTTGATTGACCATGTTTACTATGATATTTGAGTCAAGTTCGAGAACAAAATTAGTGAAACCTAACTGGTTACACCATTTTCCTCCGAACTCAGCGCTTGAGCTTCGGCCATGTTATGACTGCCACAATCAATCGACATTGCAAATGCCATGATACAATTTCCATCCTCATCTCTGATGATTCCTCCTATACCAACTTTCCCACTTTCCTTGATGTAACTTCCATCTGTGTTAATTTTGACCTTGCCATATGTGCTTTAAATATTGTATATAAGATTGTAAAGCAATGGGTTAAAACAATGGGTGGATTGACTCAAGATATATATAAATTGTCTTTGGGTGCTCTTTTACACCGAATGTGAGATCTTATATATCTCAACAACCTTCTGCTCCATAGGCCACTTATATACCAGCATGCTTCTGCATGTGTAATTCGATCTTTGTGATTCATACATGGACTTGAATGCAAATTTAGGAATTTGACACGGGCTTATCAAAGGTTGACTCTGATACTAATGCAGAAGAACTTAAGTATCGAACCCAAAGTGTTAATCTAGTATGGACGAATGATACAATAACTTTATACACAGCTAGTGCGAGACACTTAACACGTGTATGGTCGTACTAAGGTGACCTAACAAATGCAACGGTTTGTGGTGCTCTTGACATGCTTGCTCCTTTTGTTGTTTTCTCATCTCACCATATTCGGACATATACTTCTATAAATAGGGACAATATTGAACATGTACTATGCCTGTGTAGTGAAACTTACTAGGATGTAATAATGTTTTGAGGAAAGAGCTGGCTCAGGAAATAATCTACAAAAAGATCCGTGCCCTTTTAAAACATGGTTTTTCGGCCCCAGGGGTGTTGCCACTTTCATCCTAATCTATATCCAATACTCATGCATACTTTGCATTGTGCATTATTGTTTTGCAGGAACAAGTAATCATTCATTAACGAACTGGAATCCTGGGTTTGGAGATCCGTATGGAGGTCTGAGACCAAATGGCAATAACCAGCCGGAGCCTTCACGTGGAAGACCAAAAAAGGTTGTCACAATCAACATAGAGTAAACGTCCATACTGAGCACTTGCTTAGCTGCAGAATGGTCTCCACGACGTCTCAACAGCTTGAGCCATGTCTTATGGCAGGAGAGAATCAATAGCAGTTAGTGTTACATTTCTGAGAAGGAAAATGTGTTGTTCTCGATGCCAGTCCCCGATTCAGGAATTTCTTCTAATCATGATTTCAGTAGTTATAGTTCACTATCGACTGACAGAGTAATAAGGCAATTTCGCAAGGAGTTTAGCTTTTATCCACTGACAGTGTAAAAATAACGTTCAGTTGAAAAATTAACTGCAGGTAACCATCCTGAAAGGTGCAATTAGTGGCCTTATAGACTAATGAAAGAATCGCCTCAAGCCAGAAAGCAACGGAAGTTTATGAATGAAATAACGAACGAATACTTCCTTTCCTCTTTTTCTGTTTTTCGTTTAAAAAAAAAAAAGGAAATCTCCATGCTTCACAAAAGTTTGCCATTAAAGCCTTGAGTACAGATCAGTCCCAAGGATAGCATAACTTTGGACATGAAAACTCTCATACATAATACACATTTTTGCCCCAAAGGAACGAATTATATTGAAGAAACCTTTCAATCAACATAAAAACAGCCTTTGGAGGACTGCATGTAAACAATAAATAAACCAGCATTAGTCGAGTGACTTTGTACTTAATTTTACCAAGAAAACTAGATGCATCTTCTATTTATATCAATTTGGATTTACTGTACTATGTTCCTATATGCCTCGTTTATAGCAACATAATTTTATACTCCAATTAAGAACCAGTAATTTTCAGCAGGCAACGCGACCATTAACGATTTTAATCAAAATGATTTTGTCTCCAAAAGAGAGCATATATCGTCTCCATCGACCTAACTTTTTTTTTTTTTTGAGGCACGAAGGATCAAATATTTATTACAGAAATAACTAATTTACATCACACACAAATATACGAGCTCGGACTACATTACATGCAATAGAGTTTAAGTTATATATAACATTACTATAATTTTTTTTTATATTATCCCAAGATCCTATCTGTTCCATCTGTTGTTCCTTTATTGACTTTCCTAGGAATTAAACCAGTCAACAGGGTATGATGCAAAGAGCACAAGGAACCTAAATGTATCAAGTTCCTTATCTGGTTCGTTCATGAAGTTTTACACATTATCAAAACCAAACTAGCATTGTTTATCAATTTCTCCCTTTTTGATGATGAAAAACTTAGAATTGATGTTGGCTTTTGAGAACAAGATTTTCACATGTTCCCTCTGCGAATCAAACATCTTCCCCCTGAGAACCTATTTCCTCCCTCCCCTTCAATTTTCTTCCCCCCTTTGGCATCATTAAAAAAATAGACATGCATATGCAAACAAAGATATCCAGCAACATTAATTCATGCCACTTGTGCGCACACAACATGACTAAAAATAGAACACGAGAGTATAACATTGCATAAAATATTCAGCCATGCTTCTTAATTATAAAGAGAAAGAAAATAGAGGAGTAGCAGTACCATAATTACACAGATATTAGAAATCAGAAAACCTAACTTGAAGTACCACAATCATTAATTAAGATCAACAAAAAATGAATGACTATGAGAAGACAGGGAAAAGGTGCAAAAAAAGGGGACACTGGATGGGGAGTAGGAAGGATTATGAAGCTAGAGCCTTGATGAGGCTATCCATTTGAGCATTTGCAGCCCTTTGATCACTGATCAGCTGCTCCTTCAAGTTCTCCACTTGTTTCCTTAGCTTAGCATTTTCAGCCTTCAGACGGGAAACATCTTCTCCATGAGCACTGGAAGAACCGGGTTCCTTGCTTGACTGAGTGAGCTTAGACCCTAGGATGGCATTTTGTGCTTTCAGACGCTTAATCTCTTCATTGGCAGCCTCCTGAGTCTATCAGCTGAGAGATAATGGAGTTGCTTCCTACACCTCCCTTCTTGACAACACACTCACACTCCTCCAAGGTATTCATTGTGAACATTTGCTTTCGAGTCCCCATAGATGCTTTTCCCAAAGGGACCTCAAAGCGTTCAAGTACATTAGTGAGGAGAAAACAATAGGGGAGACCATGATTAATCCTTGAAATCTGCCACCTTCTTCGTATGTTCAATCATAATCCAGGGCGAGATTGATAGAAGAGTAGGAGTCCAGTGCTTCCAGAAGAACTAGGTGTGTTATAGAGTCAATAGACCTCCCCTCACCCCTAGGTAGCAGCGCCTTGTTCACCAACTCAAACAACAGTTGGTATTCTGGCAGAAGTGCCTTCTTGTGCACTCTTTCTCCCGTCTGAACAGCTTGTGGCTTGATGATCAATTTCATAAAATCAGGGGAACATGTTCCATCTACAGTTAACAGCCCATCAGTAGGCACACCAAGAATCTCATCAAGTAGAGCCTCATCCATCACAAAGTCTTTTCCATTCATCTTCAAACAAATTGTGTCTCCATCCACTACAAACATGTCAGCATAAAAGATTCACACCTCATCTTCATACACTTTTGGACTCTTGATGTCAAAGAGATGAGTCCACTTCTGTAATTCAACAATCTCCACCAGCTACCTCATGCATGATCGATCAAGGATCTCAGAATCAAACATTCGACACCACAGAACCTTTTGCTTTTGTAGATTTACCCTCCTCTCTAACTCAGATAATTCTACCCTTGGCTTTTTGGAGGAATCAGGTTCCTTACTAGTACTCTGCCTTTTTTTGAGAGGATTCTTCTTCTCTACTCTCTCTCCTTCTCCATTCTTTCTACCTCCTCAACTTCATCATCTTTGTCCTTCTTCTGCTTCACATCTATTGCTTTCTTTGAGCTCTTCCTAACAAGAGGAGCGGGATCCTGAACAGGCTCCTCATTATCTACCTCCACTACATCAGCGGGAGGCACATCCTCCTCATCAATTAACCGACTTTTAACAAGCCTCATTCTCTTAATCTTTTTCTTATTCACTTTAAAGGCATTGTCAAGTGCAGCCTTTTTCTGCTACCTAGTAGTGGGGCACTTTTGAACAGAATCCTTTATGGCCTTCCGACCACTCCTAGCAGCTACGAACTGTATTACATGCAGATTATCAAGGTCATCTTCACTATCGCCAGATTCCCCCTCAGACACTGACTTCATTTCTGGGTAAACAACTTCCAACGAAACTGTAACATGGTGATTAAAAGGGGTGGTGTCAGCACTATTAAGGGGATGTCTTGTGGAACTAGGCGTTTTATAGCAGAGAACTCCTCTTGGCCAGAGGGACCAGGTCCCTAAGTAGGTGCCCCTGTAGTACTGATAGGTGCTTGTTCTTCTTCACCCATCTGGTCCCTTTTACCCTGTTCTTCCCCCTGACTTAGCGGTTCCCCCTGAGTCTCTGCTCCCATACCAGCAATAAAAGATTCCCCCAACCAACTTCTCTACAGCGACATGCTCTCTTTCAGTAGAAATAGATCCTGCTTTAAGTACATCACTCCCATCCCTATCACCCTCAGTACCCAAAACTTTTTTATTAAGAGGAGAAGATGGAAGATTGCCTGAAGCAGAGACAACCCCTTTCAGCACTGTGAACCCCAAAAGTTTCTGACGCATGTGGCCCCTCAGCAAGATGCGAACCTTACTCTTTGTTCACACTTACTTCTGTTCTTACTACACACTGGCTTGAGACCTCAGCGTCCTCATCTCCTTCCACAATTTTGTCGGTGGTTTGTAGAAATTAAGAGGTGGACGTTATTTGCTCGGAGTCCACCTTGTCAGTAGAAGCAGATTGAGATGGGAATGCAATAATATTTTTGGGGTTTTGACTCTTACGACTGAGATGGAGACCAGGACTAGTGTAGGATAGGGGAATGTGGGTGTGGGTTGGTTGGAAATTGGGGCTTTTGTGGGTGAGGTTGTTTGATCATATCCATATGGTGGTGTCTCATTAGATTGAGACAAAATAAGGTTTTCTTCAGCGGTATTGGGAGATAAAGTTTGTGTTGACTCATTGTCGATTTTGAGGGCAAGCGGACAAGAAGAAGAAGGTTTAGTAGAAGAGATTGTGTTTGATGTTGAAAGTGAGGAGAGAGACCGACTTTTGGGTATATAAAGTGTAAAGGGGCACCGGTTACAAATGGGTGTGAGAGAAGAGATGGGTCGTCGGGTCGATTTCTTAGGGATACAATGTTTGGGCTCAAAGGGTATCAGAAGAGGCGGGAGCAATTAATGACGTTGCACTCTAGCAGTTCAAAATGCATTAAGTGTAAGAGGAACTACTAACCTGAGTCGTAGGAACAAAGTTCCTTGAATTTTTTTGAAAATATGAGCATCAACTTCCAAATATTTGCAATGTAGATTGTCACTTGTTTGTCCTGAATTTTTCATTCGTGTCTACCTTTAATGGTATAGAATTGGGTTAGAAGTCGCCAAAAAATACTTTTTAGCATTTAACTTACTATCCTTTCATAACCAATCATCAAGGGACCGGGTTCTCAGTTCATCTTGATTAACCCCAACTCCAGACAATTTCTTTCAAAATATTCTCTGCTCAGTGCTTTGGTGAAATATCATTAACATAAAAAATTTACTGCAGGTAACCATCCTAGTGACCTAGAGACTAATGAAAAAATCGCCTCAAGCCAGAAACCAACGGAAGTTTATGAATGTAATAACGAACAAATAATTCTTTTTTTACTTTTTCTGTTTTTCTTTTAAAAAAATAAGTAAAAGAAAACTCTATGCTTCACAAAAGGTTGCCATTGGCTAGTGTGCAGACTACAGTCCTTAGGTCACCAAGTCCGAGTTTACCCTTTTCGTAAGGATAGCATACCTTTGGACATGAAAGCTCCTATACATAATACACATCTTTGCCCCAAAGGAACGAATTATATTGGTAGACCTTTTATTCAACATAACAACAGCCTTAGGAGGACTGCATGTAAACAATAAATAAACTAACATTAGTCGAGTGACTTTGTACTTACTTTTACCAAGAAAACTAGATGCATCTTCTATCTAAATCAATTTGGATTTACTGTACTATGTTCTTATATGCCTCGTTTATAGCAACATAATTTTATACTCCAATTAAGAACCTGTAATTTTCAGCAGGCCAACGCGACCATAAACGATTTTAATCAAAACCAGTTTATCGGCACACGCGTTGCGTGTGTACCCCATCTAAATAAGTATAATTTATTTTAAAAAAAATACAAAAATATAATATGGAAGTTGTGTTTGAATTATAGAGTAAAAGCTAAAGACGAAAGTGTAAGCACAAGAAAATGATGATTGTTGATTCTTAGTTAGCCAACTCAATGCTACGGGATGAGTCCTCATTCATTTCAGCCAATATGTTCAATTTAAAATTTGTTCAAGTTTTACATTTTTTTACTTTTATTTCATAAGTTATCATGCTTCCCTTTTAGCTTTGCG